TTCTAACTCTTCTGTCATTGCTTTGGCTGCATCCTCAACTTTGGCCTGGGGCCAGTTGTTTTAATGGGCCTGCTCTTCCTTCATCAGGACCTCTCTGACTGTAAAGTTCCATGTCTCCTGGGTCCATTTTGTCCTGGTTTGCAGATAATCGATATGCTCACATCTCCATCTGGTCCAAAACTGGTCTGCAAGAAGTTAAACCCTTCTCCATCTCCTTTGGTCAGAGATCTTGCGATGTAAAGCTTCCTAGGAGGGTGTCAAGTCGGCACGTCGTTTGTGGCAGCAACATTGCTGGTGGCAGTGGGTGGGGTTCATTGATAGCGGCAAGTATAGCTGTGATCGGGGGAGCGTTGACTATTGCTGCGGCCTCTGACGTCAGGGTATCATGTAGCTCATGGGTCAGCTGCTGTGACCCTAATGCACCTATCAATGTAAACCCCGTGGGGGGGGGGAGTGCGGGCAAGGGGTGGGGATTTGACAGATTTTAAAATTTTTCGATCAAATTCCCCAGGGTGGGAAGCGAAAGTTCAATCAAAAGTGTCAAAAAAGCCCCTACCCCAGGGGGAAAAATCTAAACAAACAATGCTATAATACTATATAAAACGAATAAAAGAACATTTCAAACACGTCGTTACTACTTTTATTTACGGTTAACGGAAGCTCCATTAAATTACTCGCCGTAATTAAGTATTTTCTCTCTCCATTAGCATATCTTATCTTGAACAACAAAATCACTCCAGGAAGATTGACCGTGCTATATAATATTAATAAAACGTAAAATGCTTTATAACATCTGCTCAACATCCGGAACAGGTCGGATCAGTGACCCATAAAAAATCCTCTGACTTTCATGGTGGAATTCGATTTCAATCGAGTTTTACAATCAGATGGGAACTTGAAGATAAAATAGACATTATCTGTTTAGATGACAGTTTAAAGTATCGGATTATGGCGATAAAGACAAATGAAAACTTCATACCTTTCTCCAACAACCTGACTTTCAGGAAGCCTCGAGGGACGGACTTGGTAACTGCTTCTGAATTGATAACAGGCTTCTGTCGGTCAAAGTCAAATGTCCCGACCCCGGGGTCGCTTCACACGATCAAAAGCCCGACAGCGGGGATAGTCCCAGGCATCAAATCCCCTCCCCTTGCCCGCCCCCCCCCCCCCCCCCCCCCACGGGATTTACATTGATAGGTGCATAACTCCAACAGCATGGCATCCAGTGTGCGTCCGATGGTTCCTATCTGTCGTTCCAATGCACCACCGAAGGAGGATGTGTGGGGAGGATTAAATAAGCACTCGTGTCTTTGCTCTGGTAAGTACCTTGGCACTGACTGTTTATCCATCTCTGTTTGGGTTTGATCTATCTCAGTCTTTGCAGCAACAAAGTTGATACCACGTTTCTACCTCAGCTGCAAAGCAGAACCTCTTATGGCAAAGAACGCTCTAGGAGGAAAAGGTGTAAAGTAATTTACATTCCATAGGTGACTCATGAACATTGTGTTAGTGACTGTCTTTTTACTTTAATTATTTGGCTTTATTGCATAACCACTTGTATCTCCCTTTGTATGACAAAAAGTGGTTATGGAATAGAGCCAAAAAATCCAGTATAATGACGAACAGACATCAAAGTTAAAAGGAATACGTTACAGGTAAGTCTTATTCATTTCCATGAAGGAAAGTTTAGATTGAATGTTATTTACCGTTTGCAGATGTCAGCAGGGTTCGTCCAGATTCTCCAATTTTTGAAAAAGTTTGGAAAAGTGATAAAAAAATCTGGAGTTTTTTTTAGAAGCTACAGCAAGCGCTGAATAAGTGTTATTTTTTCTGTAGTCAAATCCCATTCAATCTTGCTCGTAAACTGTTGTTTTTCGAAAAAAATCTGGAAAAAGTCTTGAATTTTGGATCTAATAATCTGTGCGAACCCTGTGTCAGTATTTAGTTCCTCATACAGTCTATTTTTAACAGTTGCCTTTAGTACGACACTGGCTCAGCACAATGATCATGTCACCTGTGGCATGTAAACAGATCTTTTTACCAGTACGGTGGCCATACTGAATAAGTTAGATTTAAGGAGTATTATGGGATGCCCAGGGTGCATGAGTCATGAGCACATTTTGTTTAGTATTTATGAGCGCCTTTCAGGGCATTTTTTCTTAAAATTTTCGACGAATAAGGTTGTAATGGGAAAAAAGATTGTTGTGCCGTGTTAGGATGTAGTAATATCGCCTTTTTCCGAGAAATATACTGTGAAAGAGCATGTTTCTAATACTAAGTGAGTGCCCCCTGGGCATCCCATAATACTCCTTAAAGCGAATTAATTTAATATGGGCGCCACGTCAGTAAAAAGGTCTATTGCTTTACACCCTTTCCTTGTAACGGGGGTTAGGCTGCCTTCGCTTAGGGTACATGTGAACGAAAGCCAATGTTAGATAGTAGAGTGAACGTTCATTTTGGAATAGCGAGGAGTGGAATTAGCATCCCTCGGCTGAAGCTGAATCCACGTCCAAGCCAGGATTGGGACATTGAGAAATAGCTAGTATAAAATGAATATATCGTGGAGAACCACACGCCTTTGGAGGTAAGTTGTAGTAAGACCGTTTCTTGTTGGAAAGCAAAGAATGTCTAGACAGAAGAAAGATTTGTACAACTAATAGAGATTTCTGTCTGAGCTCATCACGGCAACGCAGTAATTTGAGCTAATTCAGCAGGAGCGCACAGACCTGTACAAACAAGATAAATAAGGGATTTACAATGGTCGGGCTTTTCTAGTATCAGAAAACATGACCGTAAAGCATCTACCTGAGTGAATTACAAGAATGAAGAGTGCCAAAAAAACTGAGAAATTGTTAGAAGTAATGTCTATCCGATCTAATGATTTGCGTCATAGCTGCTAGTCACGTGCGTCCTCACCTTCCTCTGTTGTAAGAATGGGAACGTCAGCAGAAACAGTGGCAGCCAAAGAGCTTGCGGAGTAGAAAAGTTTGATAGCATAGGTGGAAAGTGACATGAAACAGCACAATGCAAAGGAGAAGAAAATAAGACGACAGGCATGCACAAAAACGAAAAGGATATCGCTATTATGAACGAGAATGAAAGGGTAAATGTGAAGTAAAAAGCAATCCAGTAATGTAACGCAGATAGGGAATTAAACGACTGAATTACACTCCTTGATTTTGTTATATAAGATAGCAGCAGTTATTCCTATAAGAACATCCATAGTTCTACACTCCCCTGAGCACGCCAACGTCATTGAAAATGGGCATGTTACTACGTGTGCACACACTACTGAAGCTTGAGGCATTTGAGATGGACACCTGGAGCAGCAAATTCGTCTACCAAAGGGTATACACGTGGAGAAGGACTCACCCCTGGAAAAGGATGCACCAATAGCGGAGGGCATACCCTAGATATAGCTACCACTGTTAGGACCTCTCAGTCAGTGATACGACCAATAATTCTGGAGCCTATGTGTGCGCATCACATTTTCAGTTATTCGCATGTCACCAAATTATACTTAACACTTGAGGGAGATTGCAGGTGTTCCCTTGAGAATGGTCACTGCAGCTACCAACTTGTCACCAATCTTGTCAAACAGAGCTTACCTAAGTGTCATCCAGATGTTTTCAGTGGAGATGAAGCCATGGTTTGGTCATGGGAGACTTCATTCAAGGGAATGGTCAAACATACAGACATAGTACCAGACCAGGAGCTCAACTATCTAAGGCGTTACAGAGGCGATGATCCCCATCAGCTAGTACATACCTTAAGGAAGAGACACGGTGACAATGCCACCATGACCTTTGCAGAACTCTTGAAGAGTTAGAGGGACGTTTTTGTAATACAAACTCTCCTTAAAGACTCAGAAACTGCCAGCCTCGGAGATATACATAGTACTAGACTAACAAAATGGGAGAAGGAAATAGTATGCTACACAGGTGCAAACAGCAATGCCTATCCTACACTCGAATTCTCAACCGTGGTCCAGGACCAAGCTAGAAAGAGAAATCACCCTAACATCGTCATCATCCATCATCGCAAGGAAAATTAACGGAAGTCCCCACTTGAACCTGGCGTCATCTTAAGCAACCCCTGAATTCCAATTTCACTAACAAACCTGCCACAAGCTTACAGAGTGTAAGGCTTTGAACAAAATGAGGGTCAAGGAGAGAGACCAGTGGGTTATGGAGTAAAAAAGATCCCAATGCTGCTGTTTCCTGCCAAACCATATCGCCAGCGTGTGCAGAGAGAAAATGAAGTGTGCCATCTGTAGTAGCACAAGACACCCTGAGCTCATCCATTGAAGAACTTAAGAGAGAACTTAAAAGGCCATTGGTCCTTAGTGTACATTGATATGCAAAGGTGAAGGTTCTTTGGGTGGACCTTTTGCAGCAAGATAGTGCCAGTGGCACAGGAAAAATAACAGATTCCCATTTTTGGATATTTTAGGGTATTTAAAGAATACCCATAAAAATTCCAAATTTGGAAAAGTGAGACAAGTCCCAACCAAGAAATTCCCAACCAAGTTCCCTGATTGGGACTTGTCTCACTCTTCCAAATTTGGGATTTTTGTAGGTATTCTTTAAATACCCTAAAATATCCAAAACTGGGAATCTGTTATTTTTTCCTGTGTGGATATCCCAACAAAGTTCGTTGCGTGTACGCTATTGTTGGAAATCCAAGTAACCCTTTAAGAGTTATTTGCATCAAGGTAGTGGACAAGCTGAACGCTGAAGGTCGCAAATGGAAGTACTACCTTTCCACTTGTGGAGGCACTAAGAAGCTCAAATGTAGTGTTACAGCTACAGGATTTGTCAAACGGTCCATCCAGGAGAAAACGTCACTACTGCCCACACGAGGAGTACTACGGCATTCCCCAAGAAAGAAGGAAAAAGCAACTTCAGAAAGCGCAAAGGGGAACATCCTCATCTAACAATGCCCCAAAGGAAGCACCATCTGCTCAGAAATTAATGTTGGGGTGGACAATATCGGGCCAGACTTGTCTAGACCTAATGGATCAACCTGTCCATTTACAAGCAAAGAGAACGTGTGTTGATAGACAAGAACAATCTCCCAACACATCCAACTTGTAATGCATAAAATGCTGAAGACTACAAGATACGTCCATGTTCAAATACCCTTATCTTGAGAGAAAGTTTCACTGCAGCCAATGAGGTAAAAAGCACAGAATGTTTACCAAGTGACACAACGACAATGACGTAGGACAGTCGATTTGAAGATCAACGATTGTTAGAGATTATGGAATCGGTGATTCACAAGAATGAGCAAGGAAATTGGGAAATGCCATCGCCATTTTGCTTAAGCAAAGTATTCATGCCCAACAACCAAAGTTACACAATCAAAAGTCTGGACTTCTAATGACCTTTAAACGCAAATCTCAAATTGAAAAGACTGTTTCATTCATGGAAAAGAAGCTAAACAAAGGCCATTCTGTCCCAGCTCGTAACAAAGAAATTTCACGCAGTGGAGACTCTGGACAAATCTGCCATGTACCCCACTTCAGAGCATACCCCCAAAGAAGCTGGATCAAATTTGAGAAGTTGTTGACTCTTCCTTAGAGTATCGAGGCTAGTCTCAATAAAGAACTGCTCACAGGGCCAGGCCTCAAGAACTTTTTACTTAAAAGTCTAATTCGTTTTTGAATGGAAGACATAGCAGCAGTGTCCAGCCAACAGACAAGGATTTCTTGCATTTCTTATAGTTCAAAGACGACAACCTTTGAAAGCCCATCATGGAGTACAGGTTAACAGCCCATACTTTTGGAAACGGCCTAAGCCCCGCAGTGGCAACATTTGGCTTAATTAGAACAGTCGATGATGGCGTGGAGTCCTGTCATGAGGTTAAGGAATTCATCACAAGAAATTTCAACGTTGATGGTGGCTTGGTTTTAAAACCTGCTGCGGAGGTTGTTGTAACACTGATGAGAAGCCTTTAATCTATTCGTGCCAGCTTGAATCTCAGACTACATCAGGTTGTGTTGAACGTGAGTGTGATGAAAGCCTTTCACACAGAAGACCTGGTAAAAGATATACATAGCCTAGACTTGCGTCAAGACATCTTGCCAGCTCAGCATTTTCTTGGGGTTTTCTGGAAGCAGGGACTGATGCAGTTACCTTTAAAGTGTCAATAACTGATAAGCCTTTCACAAGACGCAGAGTTTCATTGGTGTTTAACTCGATTTTCTTGACCTAGTTGCAGCAGATCTAATGAATGTGAGACTTGTTACAACGCCTGGTTGCTTGGGCAAGAAGATAACCCCTGCACCTCTGGGTGAGATGATTTTCTTCTGCAGGAACTATCAACTGAATGGGAATACTAGAAAAACGTGCTTTCTGATTTGCAGAATGTCTCCGTGCAAAGATGCTACCAATTTTTAAAGTTCGACCCAATCATAAGTTTTCAGATGCGAGTTAGGAGAAGCTGTTTAGCTTTGTTATAATTCCAAAGAAGGTGAAGCTGTATCCCGCAAATGGCCAAGCCAAAGTAGGGCTGATCAACCCTGTCAGCATCACACAATGTAAATTTTGCTGGGCGGTGATGTCAGTACAAGCTGTAGAGAAATGGTGATACCAGAGACATGGTTCTACACTGATTCGAAGGTTGTTCTGGGCGACATTTGCAGCAAACCCCGTCAATTCACACGTGCATGGGGAATCAGGTGCAAGCCATTCAAAAGGTCTCAACCCCCACTGGGTACTCGTGGTCTACACCCGAAGGAAATTGCACAGTCAACTTGGCCCCACATTGCCAAGTTCCTGTGTAGTGCCAAACAAGTCAACTCATCCAGCGTAGAACAGGTAATCGTAAGTGCTGACGATGCTGATAAGAGAAAGGAATTAACACCCCTTAAAACCAGTATCATGTCACCAAAGTCCCTCACGCAAGGGAGAGATTTAAGAGATACTCATCATTGTGCTCACTAGGTACGTCATTGCCATCCTGATAGTCAGGGATGACAGATCACTCATGGTCTCTGGAAATGCTGGATACTGGCTCGTTGTTATCAGAACTATGCCTGACCTCAGCAGCTCATGTTTTACATGTAGGAATTTAAGACGTGTTATACTAGAACAAGATGGCAGACCTCTAGACAGAGCAGAAATTGCACCCTTTTTTACCAATCTTGATTTGGATGTGTTCAGACCTTGGGCAGATCAGACAAGGAGGACAAAAGGAGGAGTGGTAAGTAGCAAGTGCTGGGGTCTAGTTTTTACGTTTCAAGTAAGTAGAGCAATCCATATTGAGTTTCTGGAGACAAATGTCAGTTCATTCATATGCGCCCTAGTATGCTCCAAAGCCATTCTTAGTGTCGTCACCTAATGCTCCTCCCCAAAAATGGCTGCTGAGAATGGAACCACATTCCGTTCTGCATATTATCTAATCGGATTTTCAGTTTCTATTTTTCGGACAGGGTTTAAACCAAGTTTACAGTATTGGTTGTATCAGTACCCTTTGTGTGAATGACAGAACAGTTGA